TTGTTTCAGCAACATTACATTTAAAAACTGTACTTTTGAGTTAAAATATATATTTATAATTTTAATAAATGACAAATTAAAAAGGCATGAACATTTTCATGCATTTTCATTTATATATAGATATATATATATATATTAGGGGTGCAACGATACACAAAATTCACGGTTCGATATTTTTTCGATACAACAAAATGTTATGATGATGATAAATGATACACACACTTTAAAACTTTATTGTAAGGTCGACCCAACAATACAGAGAAAACCCAACAATCATATGACCCCTATGAGCAGCACTCACGGATGTCTGTGTGAGGCCTGTTCACTCGTTGCTCCGGGACTAATTCAGGGGGCAGAGAGAGCAGACGGATGAGGAGGGTCCGACCAACAGCCCGGATCACCCTTCAGGACACACCTGAATCCAGCTCACACCACCTGAAACACCGCAGAGTGGGACCAACACAAACCCATTACTGAGCGAAGGAACCTACAGCAGGTCAGATACAGAAGAAGCTTCCAGCAGTCACAGCGTGTGAACGATGGTGAGACGGGACAAACACAGGTCCAAGAAACATGAAATCAGTGGAAACGTCTGCTGCGTCGCTCCAGCCTGCTCTGGGTCAGCTCAGGTGTTTCCTCACCTGCAGAGGGTCAGGACGTCCTGAAGACTCCAGGATGTTGCCTGCATGGTGTTTTTCTCTGATGACTCTGTGGCTGCATTAGTGAGGGTGATGAGGCAGAGTACCAGCTGTGGTCGACTCCTTCGTCACACGGTGCAGCTCAACGTGGCAAAGACCAAGGAACTGACCGTGGACTTCAGAAAGACCAGGAAAGCCTGTGACCCCTGTTTCAATCCATGGGGTCAACATGGACGTTGTGGAGGATATAAACACCTCAGAGTACATACAGACTATGAACTGGACTGGCTTAGAAACACCACTGCGCTTTACAGGAAGGGCCAGAGTCGTCTCTGAGGTCCTTCAACGTCTGTCGGAGAACGCTCAGGATTTTCTATGAGTCTGTTGTGGTCAGTGCTGTCCTCTGTGCTGTTGCATGCTGGGACAGCAGGTCGAGGGTCACAGATGCCAACAGACTCAATAAACTGATCACAAGCCTGTAGGGTGGAGCTGGACCCTGTTAGGGTGGTGTCTGAGAGCCAGATGTTGTCCAAGATAAGGACGATGCTGGATAACACCTCCCACAGGAGCACGCTCAGTGAGAGACTGAGATTACCCATGATGCACCACTGATCGACACAGGAAGTGATTCCTGCCTGTGGCTCCCTGTACAACTCCTCCATGTGACACACTGTGAACGCTGCAATAGTTGCAGCCTGTTTGCAATCTGCTCTACTCAGTAATGTCTTTGATATTTATTACTGAGTGATTCGTATATGTTGTGCTATTAAATCTGTAACTCTGTAACTACTGTACTGTTAAATAGTTTAGTCTGTTTCTGCACTGGAGCAACTGTAACCCACATCCTTTCCTTAGGATTCATAAGTATGCTGATTCTGTTCGGCTCTTTGAAGCTTGTCCGTCACCATCTACGTCCTGGAGTCTGTGTTTA